GGGGCGCTGCGCCGGGCCTACTCCATCAAGGATAAGCTGCAGGCCATCGAGCGCGTGAAGAAGGGCGAGCGCCAGGCCTCGGTGTGCCGCGACTTCGGCGTGCCTGGTGGCACGCTGCGCGGCTGGCTGAAGGACGAGGCCAAGCTGCGCTGGTTCCTGGACCAGCTGGGCGGTGAGGTGGGCACGCAGCGCAAGAAGATGCGCCTGGCCAACGAGGAGGAGATCGACCGCGCTGTCTACACCTGGTTTCTGGCGCTGCGGCAGCACGGTGTGCCGCTCTCTGGGCCCCTCATCCAGGCGCAGGCCGAGGCCTTCGCCCGCCAGATCTACGGCCCCGAGTGCACCTTCAAGGCCAGCCACGGCTGGTTCTGGCGCTGGCAGAAGCGCCACGGCATCTCCAGCCAGCGCATCTATGGTGGCGAGCCGCTCAAGGCCGAGCCTGAGCCCGCCGGGGACCCGCCAGCACCGCCCCCGCCACCTCCGCCGCCTGGGGACGGCTACGGGGACGAGCAGATCTACAACGCCAACGTCACCGGGCTCTACTGGAAGCTGCTGCCAGGCCGCGCCGGGCCACCCCGGCGCCCGCCCATGCGGGACCGCGTCACGGTGCTGCTGGCCGCCAACCTCACGGGCGCCCACAAGCTGAAGCCGCTGGTGGTGGGCGGGCTGCGGGACCCACCCAGCCTGCGCCACCACAACCAGGACAAGTTCCCTGCCTGCTACCGCTACGGCCCCGAGGCCCGGCTGGGGCCGGCCCTGCTACGGGCCTGGTTCTTCGAGGACTTCGTGCCAGGCGTCAAGCGCTACCTGCGACGCAGCTGCTTGCAGCAGAAGGCCGTGCTGCTGCTTGGCTGCCCCCCGCCTGCCGCCACCACCGAGGACACACCGCAGCTGCAGACACCCGACGGCGCCATCCGGGCCCTCTTCCTCTCCAAGGCGCCGGCGGGGAGCGGCCGCATCCCAGCCCCGCTGGAGCAGGGCGTGGTGTTGGCCTTCAAGCAGCTCTACAAGCGGGAGCTGCTGCGGCTGGCCGTGTCCTGTGCAGCTGGCAGCGGGGGTGCGGCAGCGGGGAGCGGTCCCCTGGACTTCATGCACTCCTTCCTGCTCAAGGACATGCTGTACTTGGCCGGCCTGTCCTGGGACCTCATCCCTGCGGGCTCCATTGAGAAGTGCTGGCTGCTGGGGCTGCGCGCCGCCTTTGAGCCACGGCCTGGGGAGGACGAGCAGGGTGAGGCGCTGGGGGCGGACGGCGGGGACAGCAAGGTCTTCAGCGACCTCACGCACTTGGCGGCACTGGCCTACAAGCGCCTGGCCCCCGAGGAGGTGGCCGACTGGCTGCACCTGGACGACGCGGCCCTGGGCGTGGAGGGGGACGATGGGGAGGAAGATGCTGCGGACGAGGGCCCCGGGGGCTGTGGGGGGGAGGAGGAAGAGGTGGTGGCAGTGGGAGGTGAGGGCGCAGTTGAGAGCAACCAAGAAGGGGAGGGAGGGGGCCCCTTGCTGCCCACAGCCAGGGAAGCCATCACGGGCCTGGAGACCGCCCTACGCTGGCTGGAGAGCCAGGACCCCCGGCAGGTAGG